TTTCAGAGGTCATACTGCCTCCGTCATCAGGGCGATGAGTATGAAGATTTCTGTATTTTGGGTTGTTGCGCTGTGTATTCTGACCAACGCAGCAACGCAGCAACCCAGAATACAGAAATCTTCTTACGTCTTCTTCTCTGTTCATTTCAGATGCGTGACTCTGGATATTGGACATTCTGTCATATCACAGATATATGACATATTCTACCCATTGGTTGTGCATAGATACAAATGGATTTGAGGGAAGAGATTTTCACATTTTGTAGGAAATATCACTGCATGTCAGCAAGCTTCTAACACTTTGGTTTTCAAGTTCAAGTACAGATATTAGCAGGTCACAGAGACTATCTGCCACCAAATTTATACTTGTACAAAATTTAGTGAACAAAATCAAAATAACATAACTGCACTCATTGCAAGTATTTTAAGGACAAATCTCATAATCCAGAAATTATAAATAATTCATAAATCCCCAATTTGATTAATACCTATTCTGCAACAGTCTGTGTAGTGAAGTGCATGTATTTTGTGAGTGGTGCAACAGCACTCTGAAAGAATTGCCACCTGTAAAGTACAAAGTTCATTGTCATTATTTTACCTTACATTTCCTTCACCTCCTGTATTACTTTTGAGCAATCCCAACTGTAGGTAAATCCTTGTGATTTCTCATTTGCTGTGTTGCTTGAGGCAAGAATATTTGCAAGTTGCGATCCAAGCAGTGGACCTACAAGCCCTACATCCTTCTTGCCTTCATTCAATATTGTTTGTATAGTTTGTGTTCAATGTGCAAATTTAACATATACGTAGGTCATGTCCCAAATTCTATATTTTACATTTTTATCTCTTTCAAGTTCTTTTACAATGAGAATCTGAGCATGGTGCAGCTTGATTAGGTACAATGTGTTGCTCTAAAAGCTGAGTTATTAGCAGCATTGTTAAATAAACCACAAGTAAAACATACCTTCATACCTTATCACTGTAAGTTCGTTGTACTATTATCATTCCATCTAGGTCCCCAAGTGATCTCTTTCTATCAGATATTCTGTAACTATTTCTCATTTCCAATGTGCCCGTTACATATACTGAGCTTGTAATTATATGAACCCAAATTTTGGTAGTCATTTTTCCTCCAAACTAAACTTAATGGTTATGTTGCCACGACTCAGTTCTTCTAGAATTAAGTAGTGATTTTTCTCTGCTCTGGATGTAGCCTGTACACTTCCGTAACTTGATTTCCATGCAATGTGCTGTGTGAAGATGAGATTGGAAATATCTAAAGGAAGATCTGGAAATAGTCAAATTCAAAGAATATTGTGAATTTCATTTCAGTGGCATCGAATGTTCATGTTGTTGACATGGGGACTGACAGTGGCTGCCTTCGTTCTGATCTTCCTCGAATTGAAAGACTGGTCTGCCGAGGACAATCCACATGCAATTCTTGGATGTGCAACAACAGCACAAGCATTTGTGCAACCATTTGGAGCAGCTTTCCGACCACATCCCGATTCAAGACGCCGACCCACGTTCGACTGGCTGCATTGGCTTGTTGGCAATGTGGCACATATTCTTGGCAGTAAGTACAAGACTCTTATTTGATCCAAAAATAAATGTTGTTAGTTGGTGCAATAGCGAATCTAGGAAACTTTGCATGTTGGATGGGAACAATCTGCATGATTGTTTATTTGTCAATTGGTAGAATGATTTGTGAATGATAAATTGAAAAGAATTTGGAAGGAAGTGATTATGGTCTGTTTTAAGGTACTATCCTGACATTTGACTGGAGGGACTGAGAAAAATCATGAGAGGCCTTTGAATGATCTGAGATATGAATGTGACGCAGGACTAATATTCAGTCATGATGTTTGGTAATAATTTGAACATTATCAAGCTTTATTGGCTGTTGATCATGGCTTATGCACAGTCGAGCTGGCTGTTTGATACAGTGCTATACAATGAACACCAGAGTCCTGTAATATGGAACTCCAAATCCCATATTCTCATATTAAAAATGTTAATTGAGATAGAGATGTACATTATATTCACAAGCATACTAACTGACAGAGTATAAATATGATCTTGCAGTTGTTTACTAAGTTGTTAATCAACTTATTCTGGTAAATATTTTTGTTCACTTCAAAGATACTATTTTCTGCTTGTATTAGTAATGCAGGTAGGCCCCGCTTTACAACGCTTCATGTTACGCTGTTTTACATTAACGCCCTTTTAAAATAATGAAAAATTAAGAAAATAAAATAAAATAGGAAAACTCAAGCGTAAATGCAGCACAAGAAGTGGGTACCTAGACGGTGCTAATGTCGGCGTCAGTTGCTTTGTCCTCGTCTGCCAGACTTCGTCTTTAATTTTGATGAAACGGGACAGTACTGGAAGATGATGCAAGGTAGGACGTACATAACCTATGAAGAGAGGTTGCCCCTGGTTTTAAGGCTTCAAAAGATCGACTTACATTACTTCTGGGTGGTATTGCATCAGACACGTTAAAGCCGATGTTGGTGCACCATTCAGAGAATCAACGTAAAATGAGGGGCACTGTGAAGACTCTACTTCCTGTTCTCTGGCGCTCTAATAAGAAGGCCCATCCCATTATTGCCGACCCATTACGCCACTGTCAGAGTACATCAACAAGGGACCAGACAGTGGTGTATTTTATTCTATCCAAAAATATTATTTACTGCTCATAATTATAAAATAACCACAAATATTTAATATAAAAACACTTATTTTAAATCTTACGGTTCAATTTTAGTACTGAAGGAACCTATCTCATTTAAACACAATGTAATTCCTCCTCAATTTACGTCGCTTCAGCTAACGACCCTGAGGAGGTGCAACGTAACCCTGGCAAAAATCGGGTCCCACCTGTATATATGTATTTAATATTGTTTCTTTATTTTAATTTCTTTCTGCAACTGTTATGTGCTGAGTCCACAAGTGGCACAACACGACACAAAATTCCATTGAACTGAGTATTCTGAGATCATTCCCCACTCTAAGCAAAGTCTCTCTGGGCCCATGTTTACGTCCTTTCGTCACATCTCAAGGAATTCTGGTTGTTTATCTGATAATTCAAGGTCAGAACCAACTCCCGGTTATTTAAATTTCTAAAAAAAATGGGCACACACGCATTCATATCTGAAATTCTCTCTTAATATATACGATATTTCTCTTATTCCTGATTATGAATATAACCTATTCTATGTGTACTCTTGCTTCAAAGCTAAATTAATATTGTAATGTAAATCATGAAACATTTGAGTCCAAGCGGACAAATTTTGGACATGTTATAGTCCTAAGATAACTGTCTTCTGGGTTGCAGCACTGTCCGGTCTGGTAGAAGTTTGCCAATGCTTCACTGGTCCTTGCTGCCTCAATCATCACCAACCTGATGACGTCAGGCAATTGTCAAAAGAATTTTGTTGGTTGGTTCTCTAAGGTTTGAACCCAGAGAGGAAGGGGCCGTTAAGGCTGAAGGTCTCTGTGGCTTGGAGGGGAGATCACTTCAGCTGATGGTCTCCGTGATCGGGGGTGGCGGGCAGTGTCCCTATTAAGTTATACCCCGGCATTCGCCTTACAACGGAGGAAACGCTCGGAAAACATCGGTCAGGGTACCTGTTCACTTTGCGACCAAAATTACCCCTTTTATACTGCAAGCTCTCTTATGCTTGGATAGTCAAATTTTCCCAAAAGGAAATGTAACATCAACTCCTATTGGTGTGGCTCCACGTTCAGTTCGAAGGACCTCCCCTTTCGCACCGATCCTCAGGATCTCTGCCACATTCTTATTCTAAAGGCCATCGCTAACGCATGGCAAAACCCACTTAGGCTAGAAACAGATAATTCCTACACAGAAGAATTCCAAGGCTGATAAATTCCCAAAACTCTGCGTTCCCACGAACCTCAGGTCCCGCTATACCGCCTAGAACCGAAGTGTGTCAAATCCAAACAAATTCAACTGAATACAAAAACAAAGATCCTGAAGACCCAACACCAGACAGGCATCAAGACTAGAATCAAATGTTCCCAACATCTGGACCTGATACTACAACGAACAACTTACAGCAAACCACTGATCTTTTCCACAATTCCGGCTTCCAGCCGAGGTCTGCTTAAAGTAACGCGCTAGCAAAATTCCAATGCCTGCAGCACCAATCCAAGCTCCAATCATGAATGCCCCATGAAGTCTGAGTAGCAAGTGGCAAGATCCGACAGCTGTGCAAGCCTGTGCAAGAAACAAAGAGACAGTGAATTATACCTATGTACAGCCCATAACTGGTCACTGTCAGCATATCCACAATCTTAAATAGTATTTACATAACAGTACTCTTTATTGTTTAAATTATTCAATGATGCTATATAAAGTTCAAAGATTGTTTATCCTACGGGCTGGACGACCGGGGTTCGATCCCCGACGGGGGCAGAGGATTTTTCCTCTAGCCTTTGCGTCCAGACCGGCTCTGGGGCCCACCCAGCC